ATTTCAATTCAAAAGTCATGGGTGGACAGGTAGGGAATAGAAAATGCAAGAGGTTAAAGGTCAACAGGATGACTAACTTTAGAGGTCAAGAGTGAGGTGCCTCAGGTGGCACTGTAGCAGGCTGGGTGCTGAGGTCCTCGCTAGCTTTTAAACGAATCAGCATTCTCTCCAGGCTGTAGGAAGTCACCCCTACCCCACAGAATGGCCAGCGAGCACTGGTTATCGGGATGGAATGTGCTTTAGAGGAAGGGTCAGCACCTCTTCCTCGCAAAGCACACACACACCCCCAAATTCTGGCCCATTCCTTGCTAGCTATGGGGCTCAGAACATGCTAGTCCACCTCCCCAGGACTCAGTTTTCCCTGATGTAACTGGACTGTGTGCCTTGGAGAGGAAACGTTTACGAAGCATTTAGCTTCGTCCCACCGGCGTGATGGGGACATGGGAATCATTCTTGTTACTCAGGGCCACACAGCCGTCTGACAGCTTTGCCACACAAACGCGGGATCTCTTTCCTTTGGTTCTCAGGCTCCTGGAGAGCTCAGTGCATCATCTGCAGATGCTGGTACAAGCCGGGGCTGACGAGCACGAGGCCTGGAACCAGACGAGTGTCCTCCTCCTGCAGGCCGCTAAGGTGAGCTGCGGCGAGCCGTGGGCCAGCTGAGCTGCCGGGGGTCCTGCTGCGGCCGGGCGGCCGCCCTGCTGGGAAAATCCTAGCTCTCTGTCAGGCCGCAGCCCAGCTCTGCACCCGCTGCCCTCATTTCACGGCTGGAGCTTTAGTCCAAGGTATTTTAATTAAAGGACTTAACTCCAAAGCGATCTCGCTGGCAGCTCTTAGGGGAAAAGGCAACAAGGCGGAGGTATTGGATTTGCTTCACGTTGTTCAAACATTTCCTCGCAGATAGAAAAGCAGGTCATGCCTCCCCTTAGCCCTAGAAGCAATTCTTGGATTGTCTGATTCAATTTTCACTATGTTTTGTGTTGGCACATAATTGAAAGTCAGGCGGCAAACATTTGGGCCCTGGGCTGGCTGCTCACTGGAAGCTGCTGTCCATCCCCATGCGGGAAGTTTAGGAACCGGGAAACAGTGGCTGCTAGGGAGACCCTGGGGCATGTGCGTCTCTGCTCACTTCCCAGCAGTGCCTCAAGGGGAAAGACATCTGGGTGTGCTGAAATTAGCTTGCCGCAGGGTTGGTGGCAGCTTCGAGAGAAAGGTTTTCAAGCGAAGAGAGCAGCAGGTACAGAAGGGAGAGGCAGGAGAAGGCCTGATGCCTGGGAGGCAGCCCCCGTCCTCCTTAAGGAGCAAACAAGCACGGACAGGAAGGGCAGCCAGGGGAGAAGAGAGGCAAGACTTGGAACCTGCTGCGCTGCTCTGAGAAGCTGGGGTCTGGTTTCCATGGCCATGGGAAGCCTTTGCCAGGTGTAGGTCAGGGAGGGAGAGAGATCAGCATCTCATTCTAGAAGTCATGAGCACCGCAGGGAGGTGTGGACTGGGGCCGGAGGCCAGGCAGAAGGACGCAGCAGTAGCAGCTCTGAGCTTCGAAGAGAACTCGCGAGAAGTGGGTGGGTGCAGAGATGCTGAGGGGTGGAAGGAAGGGACAGGCCTTAGGGAGTCTGGGAGGGGTCAAGAGGTGAGAATGGGTCACATGTTCGAGCCCAGCCTGGGCAACTTAGCAAAACCTGTCTTGAAATTACAAAATGGGCGGGGGAGGTAGCTGAGTGCTGAAGCCCTGAGTTCAAGCCCCAGGACCACACGGGAGGAAAAGCCGCCCGAGCTTAGGCAGCTGGGCCCCTGACCCTGCCACAGGTGAAAGCTAAAATGAGCACTAGAATCCTCAGGCCTAAGGCCTGGAGAATGACAGCCTCCAACCTGACAGCCCCGAGAGAGGCCTCCTAGGGCAGGACTGGGCAGGCCAGCCAGGCAGGAGTGCTGTTGGTGACCCGGCTTCCGCCACACCCACGGGGGCTGCCAGCAGCAGTAAGGTCTCAGACCTTCCTTGTCAGGTGATTTGTGTGCACGGAAAAATCAAAGAAGCACTTTTTTTTTTTTTTTTTTTTTGCTGTTTGGGACAGGGTCTCACTCTGTAATTCCGGCTGGTTTTACACTCACTCTTTATCCAGGCTGGCCTCCAACTCCTGCCTCAGAAGTCCTCCTGCCTCAGCCTCCTCCTGCTTCAGCCTCCCAAAGCTGAGATTGCAGGCGTGCTGCACCACGCCCAGCCAAGAAGTCTCTCTCTGCCCCTCCCTCCCTCCCTCCTGCCTTCCCTCCTCCTCTTTTTCTCTCTCCACCTGATAAAACAAGTATGTGCATTTGTGTTATACAGAGAATAAATATTCAAAACTATGTAACAACCAATAGGGCAAGGGAGCAGGGCCCTGAAGGCTGCTGCGGAGCGAGGCGTTAACCCCCTAGTGGTGGGCTCGGGGGCGGGGAGGTAGCCTTGGGCCGCAGCCCCTCTGTCAGAGGGGGCTCTCCCCGGGGAGATGGCACGGCCACTTCCTACCAGTACTAACTTATTATTTTAGCAAGGGACAGAGCCAGGCCATGGCCCGTGGGCTAAGGAATAGCACCGCATGCTTCCAGAAGTTTAGCTCACGGGAATGAATTTTAGTTTAGTTTAGTTTAGTATTTTAGGGAAGGGTCTACAGGGTCTCACTACTAGATCGGACTTGCAGTGATCCACCTGTTTACAGCCTCCCAAGTGCTGGGATTACAGGCGCGCACCACCACGCCCAGTCTCTGGAATAAATTTTATATTCACCTGAAGCCCTGCTTTCCCACGTCACGGTGCGTGTGTGCGTGTGTGCATGTGTGCGTGCGTGCGTCTGTCTGTCTTCTGTCTGTCTATGCATGCACCGCTTTAATCAGGCAGACAATAAAAGCGGTATTTCTGAGAAAAATGGTGCTGCCCTGCGTGTCTCCTGTATGCTTTCTGTCCACCTACACACCTACTTGAAAGTTCCCAAGCAAAACAAGGAGACCAGAGACCAACCCCAAGCGCCCCCGCGCCTGGCACACGCGCACACACCCCACGCCCCGGGAGAAGGCTCTGTCAGTCCCCAGGGAGCTGACACAAAAGACGGCTGCTTGTGCGCACAGCGGGCCACGTGGCTGCCACGGGCTACAGGGTGACGGTGGCGGGGACTCGAGATCGGTGGTCACGCGCCCTTGTGTCCTTGCAGGCACACTGCTACTATATCACTGTGAAGAATTTCAAGGAGGCGCTGGAGAAACTGGAGCACGGCGAGCCGGCGGTCCACCGCGTGCTCAAGCGGCTCTGCGACCTCTTCGCCTTACACGGCATCCTGGCCGACTTGGGCAGCTTCCTCTATGACGGCTTTCTGTCCGCCCCCCAAGTCAACATGCTGAGGACGACCTACCTGGACCTGCTGCTCCAGATCCGGTGAGTCCGGCGCGGGTCTTCAGGCCGCGTGAGCCTTCAGAGAGCAGCCCCAGACCCTGCTCCGCCTAGGACTGGACATTATCGTGGTGCCCAAATTCTGCCACACTGTCCAGGACAGAGAACAGTACTGAGGAACAGGACTAGCGCCTGCTACCTGTGACGCGGGGTGTCGATCATAGTTGTAACCATAGCTAACGTTTAACGAGGACTAGTACCAGGCGCTGTGCCAAAGGCTCTTGCACATGTCATCTCATTTACTAATCCTTGTGGCCCTTGTAGTTGGACCTAAGCTCTGTATTTTCCTGAGGAGAAAATTCAGGCATATGGGAATTAACTTGCTCAGATTGCACACCTGCCCAGAAGCGGAGCTGGATACAAGGTCAGGCCTGCCTGCCCCCAGCGCTATGTCCTTAACCTGTGCGCTAAGATTGAGGGATGGGCCAGGGCTATAGCTCAGTGGCATAGCGTCTGCCTGGCAAGCACGAGGACCTGAGTTCTTATTCCCAGTACCCGCAAAAAAATAAGGTTGAAGTATTATTTATTTTATGCATGTCCCTGTGTATTTGAATGCACTTAAGGAAATTCTTGCCAAGTTTAGTAGATTTACATTAATATTCCCTTAGCTTCAAGGTGAATTTTTTTAACTCAGTAATTCATACTCTGACTTGTAAAGCAACAATACAGATACTTTTTTTTAAATGTATTTAGTACAGGGTCTATAGGGTCTCCCTACACAGATCAGATTCATAGTGATTCTCCTGTGTTCAGCCTCCCAAGCGCTGGGATTACAGGCATGCACCACCATGCCCAGTCTCAATCGATGTCTCAGCATACCCCGGGGTGGGCCGGGCCGGCATGACAAACCAGGGATCGAACCCTCATCTCTGTGTCTGCTTAAGCAGGTGCTTAATCCGCTGAGCTATCTGGCTGGCCCTTCTACAAAATTTTGTTTATTTATTTGGGGGGGGGCAGCTCAGCCCACCAGGGGGCAGGGCTGGCTGACATGTGGTGCTGGGGGATTGAACCACGGTCCCCGTGCTTTGCTAAGCTTGTTCTAAGTAGGTGCTTTAGACCACTGAGCCATCTCTCCAGCCCCTACAAATACTTTTAAAATATGACATTAATGCAGGACAATTCAGAGCCATGAAATGCTAATGTAGTGTTTTCATCCTGTTATTTTATATATAATTTAAATATTACTTTAAAAACATATCAAAGCCCATGATACTAAGAGTAACAGAAATTAAAATGATACAAATTATTTACCACTATTGAAAAGATCTTAAAAATGGCCTAACTCAAAAACACAACCTTGGGGGCCTGTCCCTTAGCTCAGTTCTTTAAGTGGCTGCTTCCACAAAGCAGTCAGGCTCTGGTTGCTGTGGTTCAATCGCCAGCCAAACTTGCCCTGAAGGCATTCGGAGCTGGCCCAAAAAAAACCCTTCTGCCGTTTAAAGAAAAAAAAAAAGGCCCGGGAGATGGCTCACTGGAATAAGTGCTTCCCTGGCAAGCACCAGGGCCTGAGTTCAATCCCTGGTTTCGAAAAAAAAAAAAAAAAAGAAGAAAAGAAACACAACCTTTTTAAGGCCTCAACAGGTAGAAAATATGACGTCTTTCCTGGGGGTGAGGGTGGGGTGACTTCCTGTGGAACCCCTGATGGGTCTCTTTAAAAGTTTTATAAAAATAAGATTTCTGGAAACTGGGTGTGGTGGTACACACCTGTAATCCCAGCTCTTGGGCGGCTGTAAACAGGCGAATCACTATGAGTCCAATCTAGTAGTGAGACCCTGAACACCCTGTAGACCCTTCCCTAAAATGCAAAAAAAAATTAAAAAAGATTTTTGTGACAGACACAAAGACCCAATTATCTCTGTATCTAACAGCATGTATTATATGCCATTTATGACCACATATAAGCACCTAACAGACAGGGGTCGGCTAGTCAATATTTGTATTCAATTAAATCATCAAAGAGTTAAAAAAAAAAAATACCTGACACAACTGTGTCCCAGTTATCAAACTTTCCCTCCTACAGAGATTACGGTACTGGGAACCTTTGTAACAGCATAAGCCTGTCTAAATTTTTGAAACTTGCTGGGGTTTTTTGTTTTTGTTTTGTTTTTTGGCGGAACCAAGGATTGAACTCAGGCCCTTGCACTTGCCAGGCAAGCGCTTATTCTGCTGAGCTATCTTCCCGGCCCTGAAACTTTTTGTTTTAAAAGCACACAAACAAAACGACCTTCTAAGCCTGGTGGGCAATGATAGTTAAATACTAAAAATCACTTTAATTCCTCCTAAGCATGTGATTTTTCTGAAACCTACAAACAGCACTTGGAAGTGTTTGCCCGCGCTCCAGGGGACCTAGAGAATTCCAGACAAGACAGCCAGCGCTGATGCAAGCAGCCGACTTCCGCACGTGCCAGGCCTGGAGATTGACTTACTTAGGTTGTGGAGCCCAGGGGACCTGACTGGGTAATCAGGCGTGTGACAGATCCCACGCTTGCAGCGTTCCTTTGTCACGGTCCCTGCCTTGATCACCAGTATTTACTTCAGACATCTGGGCAGGACACTTTCCTAAGTGACCCCAGGAGCTGAAGAAAGGGTAAACTGAGGGTCTGTGGGCCAGGGAACCTAGACCCAGTCTGTATAACTCAGAATAAGGCTGCCCTGTAGAACCGGAGGCTTTGCAGGCCATGTCATAAATCGGCTCAGTGGTATAAGCAAGTGCCTGCTTGGCAAGTGCAAGGTCCCAAGTTCAATCCCCGGTAGAAAAAAAGAAAAAATGGACAGCACTAATTCTTCCATCTCTGAGCATCGTTTTCTATCCATCCCTGAAGTGGCAGCCAGGCCAGCACCCTGGAAGAAGATGAGACAGTGACTCTGCTGTAGAGAAACTGACGAGACTGTAGAACGGAGCTAAAGCTGGAGGCCATGGCCCCGAGAGCCCAGCCACTCACCCCACAGTGAGCCCGTTAGCACACTCGGCCCTGCTTGGTTAGCAGATGCCCAGGGCCATGCAGTGTGAAGTCCCCAGACGCCTGAGGGAAGCCCCTACACGAAAGACAGAAATCAGAGCAAGCAAGAACGAGGCAGCTTGAGGATGTGAGAATCGTAGGGGGAAGGAAACTTAAAATAATAATAATAATAATAATAATATCTTCCAATAGTTAAGAAGAGACAAAACCAGCTGTAGAGTGCATACCTATGATCCCAGTACTCAGGAGGCTGAGGCAGGAGGATTGCTGGGAGTTTGAGGTCAGCCTAGGCTGTATGACAAGTTCAAGGCCAGTCTCAATTACATAGCAAGACCCTGTCTTTAAAAAGCTAAACAGGGCCGAGGAGGTAGCTCAGCAGTCTAAGCACCTGCCTGGTAAGCACAAGGACCTGAGTCTGATCCCTGTGCTGGCCCCTGAACCCCAGCATGGTGGTGCATGCCTGTAATCCCAGCACTGGGGAGGCTGAAAGCAGGAGGATCACTAGATGTCCGAGCTGTGTAGTGAGACCCTGTACCAAATACAAAAATGAAAAGAAGACAAAAAAAAAAGAAAGAAAAGAAAAGAAAAACCCCACAGATTTTTTAAAAAGCAAGAGAACCCATCCTAGTTGTTCATCATCTGTAAAACAAGTCTGGAAAAGAAAACAGAAGAGGCAAATCATTATTTAAGAAAATAGCCCCAAAATGAAAGATACAGTTTCAGATTTTAAAAGGGCCACAATACCTGCAGACAAGAGCTGGATATACCATCCACACACTAAACGAGTCCCAGCGCTGCTACGAGAAACGGTGCCATGTGCGAGGGAGAAAAGGACGGGCGTGAGGGCTGCGGGGAGTTTGGCAGGGCTTGGGGAGGGGGCACCCCAGGAGAGACATGGGGTGGAGGGCAGGAGCAGAAAGGAGCCGCGTGGCTGCCCGGGGAAAGGCCTGCCAGGCAGAGCGCAGACGCAAACATGGGCCCGAGTGTGCCTGGCATGAGGGGACGAAGAAGAAGCCACAGAGGTGCAGGATGAGGCCAGAGGCCAGGGGGTGGGGAGGGCGCAGGTTTAGCATGTGGGCTCTTACCTTGTATAAGAGGGAGGGTGAAGAAAGTGCAGTCACCACCTGAAAGAACCCGATGTACACTTCTATAGAATTACTTCAACGGACTTACTAAGTATAAAACAGAAGGGCTGCCAGTGTGATGCAATGGGAGGTCACTTATGCAGGGTGTGGGAGGCCTGGGTGCAAGCCTCAGCTCCAAAAATAATTGAAAAACACAGCAGGGAGCTGGGTGGGGAAGCGAGCTGAAAGCTGCAGTCCAAGTGAGACGTGCTTGACGATCAGATCAGAGTGGGGATGCCGGAGGTGGCGGGCAGCAGGCAAAGTGCAGATGAATTTGAAAGGCCAGGATTTGCCCGCAGGTTAGACTAATGGGGCAAGAGAAAGACAAAGCCAGGCTCTTGGGTATGAGTGGGGGGCAGCGGGATGGCCTGGGTTAGGGCACAGAGAAGACCAGGAGTTTGATTTTGGACATGATATGTTTAGGAAGCGTATCAGGAATCCTAGTATGGGATGTTGGTAAGCAGGGAAGTGAATGACACGAGAGAGGGAGCCTGTGGAATTTTCTCATGGCTTCGATTTCACCAGTGGAAAAGGATGTAAGATGGGGAGAGGTAGACAACACAGAGCTGCGGGTGACAGAGAACGTGTGAACTCATCCCCTAAGGGAATGTGAGACCAAATGAACTAAAGCCCTGTAAGATGATTGCTCCCAGGCATGGCGGCACACGCCTGTAATCCCAGCACTCAGGAGGCCGACCGAGGCGGGGGGGATCGCCGCAAGTTCGGGGCCAGCCTGGGCTACATAGTGAACTCAAGGCCGGCCTGAACTGCACAGTGAGAACCTGCCTAAAAATTAAAAAAAAAAAAAAACCGCTAAGATGATTGGCTAAACAGTAGCTGGACCCACTGAACCCTAAGGACATCAGTTTAGACCGGCTTTTGCAGACATACATAACTACAAAAGTAATGGCACAAAATTGATGGACAATTGGAGATTACAAGGGGAGACCTCTGCTTGGGAGTATGAAAAGCAAGAGAAATTGCTAAATGTGTTCTTGAGTGCTGAACATAATGGGCCCAGAATGTCAGCCGGCTAACTACAGAAGGGAGACCAGTGGGCAGAGGGACACTGGACAGGTGGTAGGGCCTATGAGGCGCCATCACAAAGGGGTTAATCGGGGCCAGAATCTCGGCCACCCCCAATGCTTCAATAATGTACGGGCATCAGAATGTTAGCACTGCCTGTTTTGGTCTTCTTGAGTAATTCAAGCTGGACTCAACTCGCTGTGTAGCCCAGGCTGGCCTTGAATTCCCAGGGATCCTCTGCCTTGGCCTCCTGAGCCCTGGGATTACAGGAGTGTGCCAGCACACCCAGGGACACTGCATTTTGATCTGGCCAAAATGATATTAGGAGGAAGGCCAAGGGAGGGAGCGTGGGCTCAGGGAGGCAGACACACAGAGAGGGCGCTAAAAGAAAAGCTTCATCTTTTGGCACGGAGAGGCCATAGGTGACATCTAAGGGACACTAAGCAGAAAGTGCCTCTGGAAGTACCAGGAAGCTGTCAGCAACAAAGATAGCTACAGATGTTCAGGTAAATACCAAAATGTCAATTAAGGCTGAAACTGTCTCTGGGAAGAAGGAAATGGAGGGAAGAATCTGGGCTCTTCTGTTTTTCAAATAGTTGGTCTGAAGGAATTCTTTGTGTGTACGGGTACAGACATATTATATGTATATATGTGACTACAAATAAAAAGAAACCCGAATTGTTTGAAAAGTGACTGTTGATGCAGTTTCTAATGTGGTGCTCAGATGTGATCCAGGACAACCCAAACTATGTTCTCTCGTGTCCCCTCGCAGGAAGGATGCTATCCTGTTAACCGACGCTTTCGACTTCACCGATCAGTGTTTAAATTCTGCACTCGGCTGTTATGATGGAAATGTCTATGAACGTTTGTTCCAGTGGGCTCAGATGTCACCAAACAATAATTCCCAGGTAACTGAGTGTAACGTATTATAAATTATATAAGAGAACAGAAAACAAGCATTAAACACACCTCTGTTTCCCCATCCTAACTGATTTCCATTAGGTTCGGGATCATTTGGCATGGCCTATCTGTCTAGAGCATTTTTAGAGACCATACAGAAGAGACCAGGAAGGGCTGGCCAAATAGCTCAGCTCAGCGGATTAATGTGCCCACAGGCAGGCACAGGGCCTGGAGGTTCGATCCCCATGCCAGCCCCGCCCCCTGGGACACACTGAGGAGTTGATTGAGACTGGGTGTGGTGGTGTGCACCTGTAATCCCAGCTCTTGGGAGGCTGTGAACAGGAGAATCACTGAGTCCGATCTAGCAGTGAGACCCTGAACACCCTGTAGACCCTTCCCTAAAATATACAAAAAAAAAAAAGAGGCCAGGAGTGGGGTGTGGCCTGGCAGGAACCCTGGCAGTGAAATGTACTGCTCCTACTGCCTTTTCTGCACACACTTCTCAGGGGTGGGGGAGGCTGCTGCTCCTGGCAGCCGGGAAAGCCTCACAGGACAGTTACAAGGGGGATGGAGACATGCCCCCAGGTGCTCTAGGACACAGCTCCAGGCCCCAGCATCATAACAGCAAGAGGAGGGAAGACTCATAAGATCCCAACGCTTTAAGCTAGGCCCAAACTCTGCATAGCCTTATTGGGAAAAGTTACAAATGTCACCAGATACATAACTGAAGAAGTGTTCATAGCAGATTGGAAGCAGATGATCAAAACAAAAGGCTTAAGGGTGCATAATGGACCTTTTCTTTCTTTTTTCTTTTTCTTTTTTGCAGGGCAGGCTATTTTATAATGAAGGGTGGAACTGACTTTTCTGTTTCCTTGATCTAGTTTCAGAAAAGGTGTGTCAACAGCGCATCACATTGGCAGCTCGCAGGCTGCGTTCGCACTTAGCACAGTGTCAGACTTGCTTTACCAATTTGTATTCTGCGATACCTCACTGCTTACTCTAGCCTGATTATCTAAAATTACAACAGAACCAGTTATCCCCAGGATGGTTGTCATGTGGAAGGGCACGACACTTTAGCCCATCCCCACCCCCAGGAACACAGCGTTTTAACTCAAGAAAATATAAGCAACCAACCTAAAGAATGCATACATTTAGGACTAGGTGACCAGTAAGGCAGGAGGAGCGCCACAAGTTCAAGGCCAGCCTGGGCCACCTGGTGAGTTTAGGGCCAGCCCAAACTACATAGTGAGGCTCTATCTCAAAAAACAAAGTACATATTTACTACTTCTCTACTTACAAGCCTATTTGCTTTTATCCTGTTTTGTTTTGTCTTCTTTAGTTTTTTGAGATAGGGTCTCGCTATGTCACTCCGCTTTGAATTCACTGTGTAGCACAGGCTGGTCTCGAACCCCCAGTTATCCTCCTGCCTCGGCCTCCTGCTGGAATCAAGGCGTGCACACCACTCCCAGCAACCAGCCTAGCCAGGTTTCTAGCATGTTGCTTTCTGTAATGATGAGATCGTTCTCCTTTTCATGTTTCAATGCTGACATTAGAACAGCGTAGCCTTCCCACGTAGCCCAGTGCCCGGGCCCCACAGGCACGCATATGCCCCTTGGTGCACGGCACCAGCCCCTGCGCACCCGCCCCGAGATGCTGACGTGCACAGCTCAGACCTGTTTTACTGGCCACACAGGACACATTCCAGTTCCCCAGATCTTGTGGCTGCTGAAGAATGCAGGGTCTCTAGTTTTTCGTCTTCACTTTTAAAGACTTTAATCTGCCTCTCTGGGAGCAGGCCTATCTCAGTGCAGCCTGACTCACAGCCCCGAGGGAGCCAGTAAAGCCTCATCCCACTCTCGGCTCTCCTCCCCTTCCCTCTGCCCGCAAGCCGGGATGGAGTCTTCCCCTGACTCCATCGGGATCTGTCAAGAGTGCACAGGGCACTTCATGGAACCAAGGCACATGGTCTCATGTGACACAGAGGCACTCACTGCACCCAGATGCTGTAGACAAGCATGTGTCACCCAGCCCCCATTGCCTTGTAAGCAGGTGACAGGTGCACTGTGGCTACTGCACATTTAGTAACGTAAGGGCCTAGATTACCTTGTCTCCAGGGAGTCGAAATGACCCTCGTTGATTGCTCCTCACAGCTGCATAATCTTACCATACATTTCTGTCTCGAGAGACCAGAAAAACTTTTAACTTGTACTTTTCTAATCTACTGGAGCCAATTCTGAAGCTCCAATAGAGATGTCTTTCTTTTGCACAGTGCAAAAAGGCACATAGTGTAGTCTTTTAAATAAATTAAAACAGCAGCTATGTGGAATTATGCCCTGCCGACAGAAAAGAACAAATGGGAATAGCTGCCGCTTTCCCACCAAAGTCAAGTGCTGCGCTGAAGTAAATGTCAGAATCGCCGGGTCTCTCTTGCGCCTGCGGCAGGCTACGCTGAGCTTTCTGTCTGGATAGAAACCTGTGCCCTCCCCTAAGCACAGTGTCTGCCTCGAGCTTTCTGCCTGAGCTGGGTGTTAGGTCCAGCAGGCTCCTCCAAAGAAAACTGCAGAAGACATTTTCCCTCCCACCAGGAACCCACCCCCAGGTGATTTGCTATTGAGGCAAGAGGGGCAGGCCGGGACCAGTGGGGACCATCTCAAATCAAGAATCCAGAGGGCAGGCCGAATAGCTCAGCGGATTTAAGTGCCTGCAAGCAGGCGCAAGGGCAGGGGTTAGATCCCCGGGCCTGCCTTCCAGCCCCACCCCCAGGGCACAATGAGACAGCACTTGAGACTGGGCGTGGTGGCGCGCCTGTAATCCCAGCTCTTGGGAGGCTGTAAACAGGCAGATCACTACGAGTCTGATCTAGCAGTGAGACCCTGAACACCTTGTAGACCCTTCCCTAAAAAAAAAAAAAAAAAAAAAAAAAAAAGAATCCAGCTTCTCTGAACATTGTCCTGTTGGCTTTGTTTCATATTTGGTCCAGCGTAGTTACGAACTTTCGGGCTGACTCATCCTCGTTTACTGTTGCAAATAATGGGGCTACAGATGCCTCCACTGCACCCTGGCGTGAAGGAAACCTCTTGTAACCCAAAGGCATGGCTGAATTAATGATGACTTAGGCCTTTATTTTTTGGCAGAACTGGGGACTGAACTCAGGCCCTTGTGTTTGCCAGGGAAGCGCTTATTCTAACTGAGCCATCTTCCCGACCCCGCGGCTTTGTTTTTGTTTTGTTTTCCTACTGGCAAGTGAACTCTGGCCCTTGCCCCTGCCAGGCAGGTGCTGTGCTGCTGAGCTTTCCGTGGCCCTCCAACATTCCGTTGTAAATATTCACCCAAGAAGCAGTGGGATGTGTTAAGCACGTCCGCTGATTCATTCACTTAATTCCTTCAATACATACAGGTTGAGCACATGCTGCGTTGACAGAAATTATTGTGGGATGCAGTGGGAGAGGTTGTGATGGTGCACACCTGTGATCCCAGCATCCGGGAGCCTAAAGCAAGAGGGGTGCTGGGAGTTCAAGGTCAGCCTGAACTACCTAGTGAGATCTTATCTCAAAAAAACAGGAAAAAAAGAAAAAGTTGTAGGCCATGTGTTCAAGGAGGTTTAGCCCAATCAGAGCAAAAGTAAATAGAAAAGGAAGTCACATAAAAGATGAGGCCAGACATTGCATTAGAAAATGATAGGGAAAAAAAAAAAAAAAAGAAAAAGAAAATGATAGGGAATGCCAGGCATGGTGGTGCACACCTGCAGTCCCAGCACTCAGGGGCTGAGGCAGGAGGATCTCCATGAGTTCAAGGCCCACCCAAACTACACAGTGAGACCTGCTCTCAAAAGAAAAAGAAACACTGACAGAGAAACCAATCTTGAGATTGAATCCTGCTTACTTGATGCCCTTTTCTGCTTCCTTGCTCAGTGGTTTATGTTCGATTTCAAAGATCCTTAGCCAAATCTTTTATTTGTATTAAAATTCCAAAAGTGAAGATAAGTTGTGTGTTTTCCTTTTAATCAGCCACCTGTGTCTACTATTAAAAATCCGCATAAGAAAAGAAAGACGCCCTTTGGAAAAATGTTTCTCCATATGTTCACACAAAATGTATTTTTAAAATAATTTGAAAAATTAAGGATCTTATGTAATGTTACTTTTTTGAAGCTAAACACTTAATTTGAAAGCAAAACTCTGTAATCCTGGCAGACATATTCCATCTTAATAATGTATTCTCTGAAACACAGGAGAAACCTGCCTATACGAAATACATCCGACCACTCATGCAAAGTCGGGGATCCAAGCTATGAAGAACCAACACTGTTCCAGGAACAGCAGCACCACGATGCTATATAAAATTAATATTTAAAATTACATATGTGGGGGCCAGGGAGATGGCTCAATAGAATAAGCGCTTCCCTGGCAAGCACAAGGGTCTGAGTTCAAACCCTGGTTCCACCAAAAAAATAATAAAATTACGTACGTGACTGATTTCAAGAGTCATCTTTTAGACACTGGCTGAATAACTGTGCAACAGAATTTGTGATTTAATTCAAAATACAGCATAACAGGAAAAGGGAGTCCAGTCGTCGTTGAGTTTTGTCAGTGGTGAGGTCCCCAAGTATCCGGGATGTCACTGCTCCCTGTGGTGCTCGACGACGCGGCCGCAGCCGCAGCAGCCCACATGTCCTTAGCAGCTGCCTGGGTTTACAAGGACGCTCCCTGCCCTCCAGGAGTGCCCGCCCCTGCAATGAGCGGCACAAGACACAGCTGTGCATCAGTTGGTCAAAAAATGAAGTCTTCACAGTGCAAGGTATTTAAGCTTGCACTGAAAGAGGTATACGTGTATCAGATGACCTAGCTATCATCAAACCACATCTCTCCTCTCATTTCCAATTGCCCAGCTAGATAAAACACAGGAAGTTAAATGTCCCTTGACAAATAAGGTGCAAAGAAGAAAACCTCAGCTATTTTCTTAATTTACTGAAAACAGTAATCTTTTCGTTAATAGTATATCTGCGAATATTTATCAAAAACAAACTTACCTCTAACAAGATCCACAAGAAGAGAAGACCTAAGCGTCACAAACCTAACGTCCATCAACTTGGAATCACTAGAAATAGTCCTATTTCCACAACTGGTTTTTTTGTTGTTGTTCTTTTATTTATTTATTTAGAGACAGGGTCTTGCTATGCAGCTCAGGCTGGCCTTGAGCTCACTTTGTAGCCCAGGCTGGTCCCGAACTTGCAAGGATCCTCCTGCCTCAGCCTCCCAAGTGCTGGGATTCTAGGTGCATGCCTCCACACCCAGCTATTCCACAACTGTTTTTAACCCAGATAATTTTACTTCATATTGCTCCCTCCTAGCTCACCAACACCTATCTGGCTGGGGTTTTGCTGTTCCTGGTATTTTGTTTAGGCAACCACCCATCACTTAGAAATACAAGCCCCTTTTCTCAAATGCTAAGGTAGTGCTAGTGTGCACGCTGATTTACTGAAGCCACAGCAACCTGCCAAAAGCAAGGGACCTTAGTGTGCATGTGGTGAAAATAGGGAGACTGGGGATTTCTGTATGTGAGTAATGTGCCAAATCTCCCCGTGAATTTTCAGAGACATAGGCAAAAGTAGACACACATAAACGTTGGCATCTTCCCCAGAGAGCACCTTGGGAATATTTCCAGGGAGAGGTGGTTGGCAGTGTGACCCGTCTGGTCCAGGGCACGCAGCCTGAGCTCCACTCTTCCCTTAGACAACGGGAAGAGCTGCAACTTCCTTTACATAAAGGTATTCTATGAAACTAGGAGTCACACCATAAATAATGACCCTTCTCGTAAAGTTCAAGCCATAGAAAACGAACTATAAGGGCCGGCCAAATAGCTCAGCGGAGTAAAGCGCCTGCTTAGGCAGACACAGCGGCCAGGGTTCGGTCCCTGGGGTGCCTTGCTAGCCCCGCTCCTGGGATGCGCTGAGACAGCAGCCAAGTCTGGGCATGGTGGTGCGCGCCTGCGATTGCAGCTGTCGGGAGGCAGAACACAGGCGGGTCACTACGAGTGCACTCTACGCAGTGAGACCTTGTAGACCCTGTACTAAAACACAAAAAGAAAATGAATTATAAGACCACGTGAAATAAATAAAAGTACGCATGCCTCTTCCTGTTCCAGATGCTTCCTTCACAGCAGCTCATCCCTTCTCTTCAGAAATAAACTTAACGCCAATAATAACAGCCATTTGTGGGTCACCACAATGTATGAGAATAAAGTGACTCCAGCTATTCTGTCCTCATGCTATTAGCACTAAGCTGAAAATAGCAAGTCATGTTCAGACCTATGACAACTCAAGGAAAACCTGTATCTTCAAGTCCTATTTGAAAAAATTTTTCAAACTTTATGTTCATCACGCAAATATGCAGGCTTTTAGAGAAAGCCGTACCCCGTTCCAAAGAAACAACAAAGTGCTCGTAAGCCACACAGTGAGGCTGCCTGAGTCCTCGCAGAGCGCACACAAGTGCTCAGGACAGCACGGGTAGGCCCTAACAACGCAGACTCGGCCGCAGCAGCATGACCTCCTCCCTTAAGTAACAATAAGCGTCAACACGTACAAGCCTCGTTTTCATATTTCACTTTTTATTAGTTTTTTCTTTTTTTCCTGGTAGACAGTACACTCGGGAATTATACTGCACCAGGCATAAGAAGGAAGGTTTCTACCACAGAGATACTTTGTATTCAGAATCCAATATAAATATTTCTAGTCAGACATTTCCATGGCTACAGATATTTGGTTGCTTGATTTATATGCATAGAAAGAAACAGTTATCATAACTGTAAAAAGCAGTACTTAACAAGTACCTTTAAATGGGTGGAACAGTTTTCCTGTAATATTACAATACTGCTTACTGGTCTGGAAACAAGGTCACCCTACGTGATATTCTGATTTTTCTCAAAGGCATCACGAGGTCTCTGCTTACTCTTGCATCGCTTCTAGTTAAGTTAGGGCCCACTTTTTCAAAAATCATTTTAGCACTGTAATTAAGAAAAAGCTCTGTTAAGGGCAAGTTATATACCATAATGATTTTCAGACTTCTTTTTATAAAAAAGGTGTCTGGAGACTCTGAACAGGCACATGCATACTGGGGGCAGGGACAAAACGTGGGAGAGCCCGCGACAGCACAGCACTTCTTTCTGGTCCTCAACGCTCTCAAATAAATACAAATATTAAAAAGAAAAGCCCACGCTGCAGGGAGAATGAGGGCCGGACCTCCCGCCTCGGCTGCCACACGGGTGTCCTCACTCGTCCGTCTTCCGCGCCAGCCTGCAGAAAGTCCAGTTGTGCTCCACCGTGTTCTCGTTGGCCCGCTCACTCATGTGGTGCACGCGCGTGTTGCGGATCGTGAAGCCTTGCTTCGTGATGTACTCCATCAGGTTAACCCGCAGGGACACCTCCTGGTGATAGTCACAAGGTCCAAAGGTGAAGGACACCTGACAGTCTCTGGTGTCCATCATGTGCTTGTTCCACTTGGTGAAGTAATTCGAGATGCCCTCGAGCAGGGAGTGGACCTTGGTGGTGATGGTCAGCTGCGTGATGATCACGGCCACTGGGTTGGAGTACTTGGAGAGCTTCCGGGTGCTGGACAGCTCCACCACCTCCTCGAAGGTCTCCATGGGGTACAGTGGCTTGGGGTCATTGAGACACTGAATCAGGGGTTCAATTTGGTAAAAATCTGCTTCTTTGCGCAGCAGATCAAATTCCTTAAAATCCAAGGGCAAGGTCAACTCCGAAGTTCTTAGGAAGTTGAGGACGTAGCGGAAAAGTGGTCCATCTCGATCGATGAAGTAATTGCCCTGAGGGTCTCGCGCCGTGGGGAAGTCCCCTCCGAACATGGCTCCAAGCATGGAATCCGGGTACCGCGTCAGCGTGGTCAGTGACGTTGTATACAAGTGTCCACCTACATTTAACGTGACTGGGTCAGTCATCTGAAAGTTAAAAACATCAGTTGTGAGACTTTTAAAATTCCAACTTGGACAAATGAAAAACAGCAGTAACAACAATGAAGGCACAAGATTCCTTCCAGCTCTATTGTATTCGGAGTCACTTTCAGCAATAAGCCCACCACGGTGAGGGACAGAATACTCATTTTCAATAGAAAAAAATAAAGGCAAATCTATTCTTGAAGGTTTTTTCTAGGAGTAGAGGCTGGGGCTCCCGGAGCCCAGAGGGAAACTCAGTCTGTATAGCTCTCAGGTTCGCACAGACCATGGGAAGGAAAAACCCATACTAAAATATATTCATTTCAGGTATTTCTGGATTTTGTTTTTTAAAGAAAGACCTTCAGTTCCCTTAAACTCAATTTAACATAATATAAAAATGAACTAACAATATAAAGACATCTACTTTTAATTTTCTTGTGTATGTGTGTGTGTGTGTGTATGTGGCCAGCTCAGCCCACCAGGGGGCGGGGCTGGCTGGCATGTGGTGCTGGGGGATTGAACCGCGGTCCCTGTGCTTTGCTAAGCTTGTTCCAAGTAGGTGCTTTAGACCCCTGAGCCATCCCACCAGCCCCACCTTTTAATTTTTCTTTGCATTCCCCCCTCAAGGAAGGAGAACAAATCATGAGATTTTTAAAACAAAAATTTGTAGTAACTCTTTTATGGAATTAAGTTTTAAATAATACGTTAAGGGCCAACAAGACAGCTCAGCAGACTAAGTGCCTGCTTAGGCAAGGGCAGGGACCAAGGTTCAATCCCTGGCACCACATGGGGTGCCAGCCCCATCCCTGAGTGCGTTGAGCCAGCCACCGAGACTGGGCATGGTGGTGCAGGCCTGTAATGCCAGCCCTGGGGAGGTTGAAAACAGGAGGATCACTGTAAGTCCGAGCTGCGTAGTGAGACCCTATCCAAATACATTAAAATAAAATAAAAACTAAGTTAAAATAGTTCAGGCAACACACCCTACAGACAAAAAAAAAAAAAAAAATCACACAAAGACTTGTAGTAGCTTTAAAATTTCATAATCTGAGAGTGTATTCACTTTCGTAACTTTAATGTTGCAATCTGACCTTTAATTTTGAGAAGCAAGCTTCTCTAAATATACCTTGGATTTCAGAAACCATATTTTAAAAAAAAAAAGTCTTCATGTACTAGAAAAAGTTAAAATATTTCTCACTAGAAGAGGTGAAAAGTAGGGAAAGATGGGCACACACAAAATGCGAGGCAGGTGAATAGGCCCTTCACCCCCACAGTCCCTAAATATAAGGACCCCTCCTTAGCACTGGGGCCCCTGTGTTTCATCACTCCAGGAGTGAAGCGTCTCAGAGTAATGCACTTGGAGGGTGGAAAATCATGCCAGCCTTCAAAGATGGCATGATAAAAACCTGGGGAGTTGGCACTGAGGCTGCTTCCATTAAAACAGCAAATAAAAAAAAAAAAAAACCCAAAAGAAAGAAGTTGCACAAATTCATAATTTCAATCCTTATAAGAATACAAGGGCAGGCCAGATAGCTCAGGGGACTAAAGCGCCTGCTTAGGCAGAAGCAGGGACCAGGGTTCAATCCCTGGCCTGCCATGCTGGCCCGGCCCCCAGGCCCTGCTGAAACATCGATTGAGACTGGGTAATCCCAGCTGTAATCCCAGCTCTTGGGAGGCTGAAAACAGGAGAATCACTATGAGGCCGATATGTGGTAAGACCCTATAGACCCTTACTAAAAAAAAGAATACAACTAATGTCAGGGATAGAGCTCAGCGGCACAGCCCCTGCCTGGCACAAGCAAGGTTCTGAGTCTGATTGCTGGTACCAAAAACTAAAAAAAAAAAAAAAGAATAAAGATATAATACAACCAAGAATATGCAAAGGAAAAAGACACCGAAGCAACTCGCCAGCCTCAGAGTGCAGCTGCGAGGCCACTCACCATATAGCCCCAGTCTCCATTATCCATCTGTCCCAGCACAGCGCCTCCGGGAGCCCAGGTTCCAGGGAGACTTAAGGGAAGAAAAAGACACATGACAGCGTTCATAGCCGTGAGCGGAGAGAAGGAACCTCCCTCCCGCACAACGGGCAGCAACCCAACCACCGGAAAACTACTTCTGTTTATTCAACTAGCAGCTACCAGGGGGCTTGCTGGGCGAAGACCTGGGAAAGCAAGCACCCCCCTGCTCCTGCGCTAGGCACTCTGCCCTGACTTATATGCAGCACATCAGGAACAAGGAGGGCCTGATCCATGTTTGGAGAAGGAGGAAAGAGCCTAGGAAGTAAGCCAGTCATTCAAATTCTCTGCTCTGAAAAGCCAATTTGTTATGATTATATGATTAACTCTACAGCCTTATACTGGCAATTTTTTTTTTTTTTTTTTTTTTTTTTTTTTAGGCAGGGTCTTACTGTGTAGTTCAGGCTGGCTTTGAGCTCACTACATAGCAGACCAAGCTGGCCTGGAACTTGCAGCGATCCTTCTGTCCTTCTGCCTCAGTCTCCTGAGTGCTGGGACCACAGGTACAGCTGACCATGCTCAGCTACTGACACAAACTTATGACAATCTCTATCAAGAGAGTCATTTAAGAAAAAGCAAGTCAGGCGTGGTGACGCACTCCTGCAACGCCAGCAGTGTGGGAGGCTGAGGCAAAAAGATTACAAACTGGAGCTCAACTCAGTGACTTACTTAGCAAGACCCTATCTCAAAAAAGGGCAGAGGATATAGTTCAGGACCAAGGCTCTGGATTCAATGCTAAGCACCATGAAAGGAAGGGAGGGAGAGGCAGAGAGAGGGGGGAGCAGGGGAGGGGAGCGGAGTGGAGGGAGGGGGGAAGAAAACTTTTTCATGAGCATTTCAGCTATATAAATTAAGCATCTCAGTAAAAGCACTCAAAATCATAAATTTTCCAAGACACAACTACCATTTTCCAAAAGTATTTTACAATATTAAAAACTAATTACACTTTTAGTAATGAGGTATTCCTATCTTTGTGCAATGATCAGAGAAAATCTAAATGGTAAACTGTAAGGGCACAATTTGGGGCAAAAAGAATCTTACAGATCTGGCTTTGAGCACATCAGCCAGTGCTCAGAGAGAAGCCAGCCCTGGGACACCGACAAGCACACACACTCGCAACGCCACTTGGCCTTATGTCCAGCTGCGATCCCAGAGCACCGAAGCTCCCTCCCAGCTGCTGAGCTGCCTTCTTCAGCTCCGCTCACACGCTTCATTCCCCAAATCAACCCAAACAGCAAATTGCAAATCTCAAAAGTGCTGGCAGGAGACGGTAAGAAACAGAGACTCGTCAGTATTCACCCGGGAAAAGCACCGGCTTTCTATGTGGTCTTTGAGCAGATCCACTTTTCCCACTTTTGGAAGACTCTGGCACACAATTCCCAGCACAAGCTCCGGCTGCTGCAGAAGATCACAAAGGCTCTTTCTCAAAAGCTCGCTCAGGCGTGTGGAGAGCATTTGCACAGCACAGCAGGGCTGAAATCAGAGCCCGAAGCATCTTTCTCCACCTTGCAAATTCTTCAAACCAAACAAGCTAAAATGTGGAGCAGAAGATGTGCAGGCACTTTCTATCCCTCGCACTCAGCAGCTGTGTGCAGATAGGCCTCTGTGCGCTACACGATAAGAACTGGAACAAATGTCAGATTCAGGGTTGTCACCGCACTGACTTGCCCACAAACAAGATCTAATGTAAACAGAACCAAGAAATGAGTTTTACCAATTTGTCTTACCAGCATCTGATTCAATTATTAAACATAAATCAGTAACTGAGTGATTTAAAAGGCCAGTCATCTGAAAGCTCTGGTAATATGTTCATCTTTGGCATTTCCTGTCACCCAAAGCATTCTCTGCTGACAATTAAAATATTTACTCATTCAGCCCGTGTTTATTTTAGGTCAGCTACAGGGGAAGGACGAGGAGATGGGCCTGCGTGCAACGCCGAGGCACAAGGGTAGGAAAAGCTCAGTCCTTGACCCGCGGAGCTCTGAACTACAACGCGAGGCCCCACGCAACACTTTGCAGAGTAAAGGGAATCCCAAGTACAGACAGCAGGTGGACAGGACCGGCAGAGCCACCAGCAGGGAAAGACTCCAAATTGAAATGGGAAGCTGGAGGACTTCACGGACAAGCTCCGAGGAAAATGTGTAAAAGCCAAGGAAAGATTCCAAAGTACAGAAGCAGCTTAAATGGATGTGAAAGTTTACTCCCTCCGCCCCCAATACTCCTCAGACCACAAGCGCAGATTCCTGCCCCCACTGCAGAGGGTAAGCCAGAGGAACCACACGGTTAAATGACTTCCTCCAGGCCCACAGCTGGGAAGGTACTGAACGAGGACCTGTATTTTCTGACACCTTGTCTAGATCTTTCCCCTTCTAGGGTACAAACTACAGGAACAAAATCTAGGAGAAAGCAATGAAAGGGATTAACCTGACTCCTTATAGCTACCTTTTCATGCTGTCCTCCCAACAGTGATTTGTTTGCAATCTGACATTAACTCAGCCTCACTCATAAAGCTCTGTAAAACTTCCAAGGCTACATAAAGCGGCAGGAACTTATCCACTGCGGTGAATACTGGCTGCTGTCCTCTCTCATAAGTGACAAAAAACACACATCTATAAATATCCAAACATCCAAACAGTTAAATTAGAAATGAAAGACCAAAGGCAAAGGAAAGAAAGGCATCAAAATAACAGCTGGGGGGGGGGAGCCAGGGGCCAAGGAGATGGCTCAGTAGAATAAGCGCTTGCCTGGCAAGCATAAGGGCCTGAGTTCAAGCCCTGGTTCCGCCCAAAAAAAAGGAAAGAAAACAAAAAAACAAAACAAACAAACAAACAAAAAGCCAAATGTGATGGCACATGCCTGTAATCCCAGCACTCGGGAGTCAGAGGCAAGAGGACTACCATGAGTTTAGGGCCTGTCTGGACTACAAAGTAAGTTCCAGGCCAGCCTAAGATATATAAGGAGACCCTATCTCAAAAGAACAAAAACAGCTGTTATCATGAAGGTCTGTCCACTACTTGGTTTGTTATTTATTTGCAGTACCTGGTATTGAACCCAGGGCCTTCACACTGAGATATATATATCTGGCCCCCACCCTTTTATTTGGGAAGAGGGCCCTGGTAAAACACTAAGTTGCTCTAGTTGGGTTTGAACTTGCAATTCTGCCTCACTCTCTGGGCACTAGAATGACAGAACCCCGGTGCACTCGGAGCAGCTTGTCGTGCTGGCTTTCCTGATGAACTCAGCTGTTCTCCTCACTGAAGGAGCTTGGGACTTCACTGTCGCCAGGAATGGCTGCACTTCACTTTGGGGGCACTCCACTCCTCACCTTCAGCATCGCTTCCGGTCTCCAAAGAGGAAGACGGTGCACTGCTCAGTCTCCTGGAGAAGCTTGTCCTGTTGGCTTTCCTTACAGGAACTCGGCTTTTCTCATCATCAGGAGAGCTGGGGACCTCACTGTCATGCAGGGTGGCTGTGGCACCCCTCAGGGGAGCTCTGGCTCTGACTTTGAGCATCGCTTCCTGGCTCCAGTGCAGATCCCTCACCCTGCTGTCGCAGATCCTTCATCCACTGGCTGGCGCAGACTTTCTAGCTTCCACCGCTGCCCTTGGGGCCTTCCCAGCGCAGCTCTGTGAAACAGGCCTGCAGGAGGCATTGTCATGGGCTCCTGACCTCCAGTGGGACTCATGAAGGACACTGTCACGGGCTCTAGGTTTCAGCTGGACTCACGTAGGACATTCCAATGGGATCCAAGCCCTCAGGTGGACCTTGGTCTTTAGTGTGTGGACAGATTTCCTGCACTCTTTTTGTATATGACTCCTTCAGTAACTATTATAAAAATAATCATATAAAATATATGTCTAGGGCCGCGGAGATGGCTCAGTGGAGTAAGCGCTTCCCTGGCAAGCGCAAGGACCTGAGTTCAATCCCCAGTTCCACCCAAAAAAAAGGTCTTTTATATAACTTCTTCCCTTGTAAGCCCAGACTACAACACTGGCTAAGATAACTTGAGCAGTCATGCAAAGAAATTTAGATGATGCCCCTGAACTTGCTCCACAGCAAAGCCAAGGTTCAAGTACAAAGATGTAATGAAATCTTAAGCCTAGGAATTCAAGAAAGCAATTATGGGAATGTACCTAAACCCATGTTTCTTACAAAAGCACCCAAGCCTGCAGGCAAGCACAAGGTCTTGAGTTCAATTCCTGGTACAAACCCCCACCCCTACCTCAAAAGCACCCAAAGGCCTTCATACTTACACCTTTGTATGAGATACTTCAAAATAAACTGAAGCAAAGTCACAGTGAGTCCCTTCCAATAACAATGGATAAACTGTCGAAATAATCAAATTATTCATTCAAGGCTTGAGGAGGGAAATAGCATTGATTAAATCACTTTAAATTTTATCTCTATTCCTTACTTGTAAACATCCTCTGGGGTGATGCTTAGATACAGCAAGAAACCATAAAAAGGAGCTGCTCAAGCAAGAGCTGGAATCTGAACTGTAGCTGTGAGGAGCACTCTCAGAGACAACACAGATGAATGACATAAAACATAAACCAAAAAAAAAAAAGAATTTCCGGAATAGCTTCAGTCTCTTCTAAATCCTTTTCCAGAGCTGCTAACAATTAGAACATGATTCATTCACTTTTCCTCTTCCCTCTCTTCTGGCACAGGCGACAGCAGAGGGCTGAATGAGAAGTTAAAGGACACACGACAGCAAAAGGAAGACCATCAAAAGGGCCTGCTTTACTGGATGAAGGGAAAGAAATACCCAATCTTTGTAAAATTTTGTTACAAATGAAGAGTATGAGGGTAACAAAATTTTCTACTTTAGAGTAACTTTCCTGAATTGGCTGGGGTAGGTGCACTGACTAATCCCAGCATCCAGGAAGCTGAGGCAGGAGAACTACTGCTGCTAGTCTGAGGCCAACCTGGACTACAGAGTGAGTCAAAGGCCAACCTGGATTCCATAGCAAAACACTGTCTCAAAAACCAAACAAATAAAAAAAGTGAGTTTCCTTAATTAAGGCTGTTAAAAAAGACAGTGAATACAACTGAGCACAGTGATGAAGTTTAATGAAAGATAACACCAGTTCACCTGAAAAGACCTGAACTTTGATGCAAATAAAATTCTCATTCCAAAGACTACAAAGCAGTACTGAGTACTGAGAGTTCACTTCTGCTTTAGTATCGAAGGTTACTCTAACTAATGCATAAACTCTAAAGATGCAGTATTTGCAGGTAATTAAGGCGCCTCCTCCCCACAGCAGAATGCAATTTACAAGTTTACGGGCTACAATGAACTAATTTAACACAAATATTCTGGGTTTATCCCTGGTGCTACATACTAAGAATTCCCCCAAGGCAAAAGTCTCACTCCTTTGTGACAACCTCCACACTGAAACATAAACCTGGACAAATACTAAAAAACCTATAACTATGCCTCCCCAGAGTTTCTGGCTAGCACTTTAAAAGCTTTTCTACTGAAACCTTTGTGCCTGGCATCCTGAAAAGAGGACTCAATAAATTCTCTCCATCTATACTTACCTGCAAGGCTGCCTTTGTAGTGAGTTTCTCTGTTCTTAAAACGTGGGAGTTTGAAAGTGAAATACTTTTTATAGTAACTAGCTCAGCGACATCTGAAGGAGCCTTTTAGGTTAACATCCACATACAGGCCAGTTCAAGTAGCCAGGCCTAAAGGACGATATGAGTATGTTTGATTTTTCCTGAACCAAACCACTGCAAAAGGGGAGTTTTTTTGGTTTTTTTTGTTTGTTTGTTTGTTTGTTTGTTTTTGGCACAACTGGGGATTGAACCCAGGCCCTTAAGCTTGCCAGGGAAGCGCTTGTTCCACTGAGCCATCTCCCCGGCCCAGGGGAGCTTTTTTAAGCAATTCTTTTCTCTTTCTCCTCTCTCAATCATGTGGACTAGGAAAAAGCGGTATGTCAAAAAGAAACCTTAATATGTAGGAGTTGTCACAGTCACAAAAATCATAAAATTGCTCTTACCTCAGTTTCCACGAGAAAAGATGGAACAAAACTGCCTTCCCAAAAGTAATTACACCATTTGAACAAAACACAAGGGTAAAATTCAGCCAAAAAGGTGACAGATGAGGAGGAGGGTTCTGAAGTCCCCTGTGGGCAAGTACAGGGCAGATGAAAGAGACCTGGCGGCCAGGTTGGGAAGGACTAGTACTCCAGTTCTCCACTTCCAAGTATGAGCCCTGAGTAAGTCGCTCTTTATGCCCAGTTTATTCTTTGGGGAAAGAGAGAAAACACCCCCAAAATCATGCACATAAAACAAGCAATACACAAATGTCAAAAATACCTGTGGCAGCAGCAGAAACAGATTTCTGTGGTAAATGGAGAAGAAACTGGAGAATGTGAACACACACAAGTAACGCAGAGCAAGGCCCAGAGGCAAGGTAAACAGGGAGAGAGAAGGCCTCTTCCCCCATCCCACCTCCACAGGTCCATCCTCCTCCCCAGCGCTTCAGAGGGGACGACAGCATTTCCATCCAGACATCTGAGGGCTGAATCTCAGAAGGAACTTGTCTAAAGCATGACTCAGGATTATCTCAAAGTAAAGCTGAGTCCAAACAAAAAAAAAGTGCCTTCTATTTTAAATAGATGCCGTACATAAAAATTTAAGACACATGAGGGACTCCTAGGCATCACCCTACGGTCGCATGTAGTAATCCTTTCATTAAACTACGGATTGCATGAAAATTCAAATGACAAAACTTAACAGGAAAGGCATCTGTGGCTATGCTGACCACATTAGCTCAGGCATCACGAAAATAAATTGTCTTGTGTCCGTGTGGACTCACGGTTTGCCACCAAGGAACAAGTTCTCACAACCATCAACCCTACCCACAAAAACACTATTTTCTTTTTCCTAGGTACCCATTTGTTCCCCTGAAAATGTCTCAGTCTGGGGCTCAGGCCTGTGCTACCCCAGCTTCTTCTCTACCCCAGGATCAACCAGGTACTGGAGCATTCTGACAGCAAAAATGAAATGGAGCTTGCAGGTGCGGGGTGTCCGGAGGTCCAGCCTAGGTGCCCACTTAGGCTGCCCCCCCCCCAGCCACGTCGGGTTACCCCAGGTCTGTTCACCACGCAAACTTCTACCACAAAGTCCTAACACTGGATTTATCAAGTTGTTCTAGAATTGCTGTCTCGGACAGAAACACGCTAACTTCAGCACAACACCCCCTGGGTCTCCGCGGCGCCTCACTCCCCCGCCCGCCCCCACTCCGCCGCGCGGCCAGCAGGTGCGGCAGGGGCTCCCCGCGCCCCCCGCCCGCCGCAGCCGGAGCGTCTCGGAGCAGGAGACCGCAAAGGCAGGGCTCGGGAGCCCCGCCGCCCGCCTTAACTAGGGCAAGCGGCGTCCGAGGCGCGCCACCCCCACCGCCAGGCAGAGCGCGC